TCTATGTGGAGTCTGTGTCTCTCTCTCATCATCATCACGGTGGCTAGGAGATGTTGACTACCTCGCCTGGTCTACAGGAGGTCTATGTGGAGTCTGTGTCTCTCTCTCATCATCACGGTGGGTATGAGATGTTAACTACCTCGCTTGGTCTACAGGAGGTCTATGTGGAGTCTCTCTCTCTCATCATCATCATCATCACGGTGGCTAGGAGATGTTGACTACCTCGCTTGGTCTACAGGAGGTCTATGTGGAGTCTCTCTCTCTCATCATCATCATCATCACGGTGGCTAGGAGATGTTGACTACCTCGCCTGGTATACAGGAGGTCTATGTGGAGTCTGTGTCTCTCTCTCATCATCATCATCACGGTGGCTATGAGATGTTGACTACCTCGCCTGGTATACAGGAGGTCTATGTGGAGTCTGTGTCTCTCTCATCATCATCATCATCACGGTGGCTAGGAGATGTTTACTATCTCGCCTGGTACACAGGAGGTCTATGTGGAGTCTGTGTCTCTCTCATCATCATCATCACGGTGGCTAGATGTTTACTACCTCGCCTGGTATACAGGAGGTCTATGTGGAGTCTGTGTCTCTCTCATCATCATCATCATCACGGTGGCTATGAGATGTTGACTACCTCGCCTGGTATACAGGAGGTCTATGTGGAGTCTGCGTCTCTCTCATCATCATCATCACGGTGGCTATGAGATGTTGACTACCTCGCCTGGTATACAGGAGGTCTATGTGGAGTCTGTGTCTCTCGCTCATCATCATCATCATCACGGTGGCTATGAGATGTTGACTACCTCGCCTGGTCTACAGGAGGTCTATGTGGAGTCTGTGTCTCTCTCTCATCATCGTCATCATCAGCATCACGGTGGCTAGGAGATGTTGACTACCTCGCCTGGTACACAGGAGGTCTATGTGGAGTCTGTGTCTCTCTCTCATCATCATCATCACGGTGGCTAGGAGATGTTGACTACCTAGCCTGGTACACAGTAGGTCTATGTGGAGTCTGTGTCTCTCTCATCATCATCACGGTGGCTATGAGATGTTGACTACCTCGCTTGGTCTACAGGAGGTCTATGTGGAGTCTGTGTCTCTCTCTCATCATCATCATCACGGTGGCTAGGAGATGTTGACTACCTCGCCTGGTCTACAGGAGGCCTATGTGGAGTCTGTGTCTCTGTCATCATCACGGTGGCTAGGAGATGTTGACTACCTCGCCTGGCCTACAGGAGGTCTATGTGGAGTCTGTGTCTCTCTCATCATCATCACGGTGGGTATGAGATGTTGACTATCTCGCCTGGTATACAGGAGGTCTATGTGAAGTCTGCGTCTCTCTCTCATCATCATCACGGTGGCTATGAGATGGTGACTACCTCGCTTGGTCTACAGGAAGTCTATGTGGAGTCTGTGTCTCTGTCATCATCACGGTGGCTATGAGATGTTGACTACCTCGCCTGGTATACAGGAGGTCTATGTGGAGTCTGTGTCTCTGTCATCATCACGGTGGCTAGGAGATGTTGACTACCTCGCCTGGTCTACAGGAGGTCTATGTGGAGTCTGTGTCTCTCTTATCATCATCATCACGGTGGCTAGGAGATGTTGACTACCTCGCCAGGTCTACAGGAGGTCTAGGTGGAGTCTGTGTCTCTCATCATCATCACGGTGGCTAGGAGATGTTGACTACCTCGCCTGGTACACAGGAGGTCTATGTGGAGTCTGTGTCTTTCTCTCATCATCATCATGGTGGCTATGAGATGTTGACTACCTCGCCTTGTCTACCGGAGGTCTATGTGGAGTCTGTGTCTCTCTCATCATCATCACGGTGGCTATGAGATGTTGACTACCTCGCCTGGTCTACAGGAGGTCTATGTGGAGTCTGTGTCTCTCGCTCATCATCACGGTGGCTAGGAGATGTTGACTACCTCGCCTGGTCTACAGGAGGTCTATGTGGAGTCTGTGTCTCTCTCATCATCACGGTGGCTAGGAGATGTTGACTACCTCGCCTGCACTACAGGAGGTCTATGTAGAGTCTGTGTCTCTCTCATCATCATCACGGTGGCTAGGAGATGTTGACTACCTCGCCTGGTCTACAGGAGGTCTATGTGGAGTCTGTGTCTCTCTCATCATCATCACGGTGGCTAGGAGATGTTGACTACCTCGCCTGGTATACAGGAGGTCTATGTGGAGTCTGTGTCTCTCTCATCATCATCATCATCACGGTGGCTAGGAGATGTTGACTACCTCGCCTGGTCTACAGGAGGTCTATGTGGAGTCTGTGTCTCTCTCATCATCATCATCATCATCACGGTGGCTAGGAGATGTTGACTACCTCGCCTGGTCTACAGGAGGTCTATGTGGAGTCTGTGTCTCTCTCTCATCATCATCATCACGGTGGCTAGGAGATGTTGACTACCTCGCCTGGTATACAGGAGGTCTATGTGGAGTCTGTGTCTCTCTCATCATCATCATCATCACGGTGGCTAGGAGATGTTGACTACCTTGCCCGGTACACAGGAGGTCTATGTGGAGTCTGTGTCTCTCTCTCATCATCACGGTGGCTAGGAGATGTTGACTACCTCGCCTGGTCTACAGGAGGTCTATGTGGAGTCTGTGTCTCTCTCTCATCATCATCATCACGGTGGCTAGGAGATGTTGACTACTTCGCCTGGTACACAGGAGGTCTATGTGGAGTCTGTGTCTCTCTCTCATCATCACGGTGACTATGAGATGTTGACTACCTCGCCTGGTACACAGGAGGTCTATGTGGAGTCTGTGTCTCTCTCTCATCATCATCACGGTGGCTATGAGATGTTGACTACCTCGCCTGGTCTACAGGAGGTCTATGTGGAGTCTGTGTCTCTCTCTCATCATCACGGTGGCTATGAGATGTTGACTACCTCGCCTGGTCTACAGGAGGTCTATGTGGAGTCTGTGTCTCTCTCATCATCATCATCACGGTGGCTAGGAGATGTTGACTACCTCGCCTGGTCTACAGGAGGTCTATGTGGAGTCTGTGTCTCTCTCATCATCACGGTGGCTAGGAGATGTTGACTACCTCGCCTGGTCTACAGGAGGTCTATGTGGAGTCTGTGTCTCTCTCATCATCATCACGGTGGCTAGGAGATGTTGACTACCTCGCCTGGTCTACAGGAGGTCTATGTGGAGTCTGTGTCTCTCTCATCATCATCATCACGGTGGCTAGGAGATGTTGACTACCTCGCCTGGTCTACAGGAGGTCTATGTGGAGTCTGTGTCTCTCTCATCATCATCATCACGGTGGCTATGAGATGTTGACTACCTCGCCTGGTCTACAGGAGGTCTATGTGGAGTCTGTGTCTCTCTCTCATCATCATCATCATCATCACGGTGGCTAGGAGATGTTGACTACCTCGCCTGGTCTACAGGAGGTCTATGTGGAGTCTGTGTCTCTCTCTCATCATCAGCATCATCACGGTGGCTAGGAGATGTTGACTACCTCGCCTGGTCTACAGGAGGTCTATGTGGAGTCTGTGTCTCTCTCATCATCATCACGGTGGCTAGGAGATGTTGACTACCTCACCTGGTCCTCAGGAGGTCTATGTGGATTCTGTGTCTCTCTCTCATCATCATCATCACGGTGGCTAGGAGATGTTGACTACCTCGCCTGGTCTGCAGGAAGTTGTGGGTTTGATCCCGACCCTTACGATGCCTGCTGCTGTATTTTTGGAGTCTGCGTCTCTCTCTCTCATCATCATCACGGTGGCTATGAGATGTTGACTACCTCGCCCGGTAGGCAGGAAGTCGTGGGTTCGATCTTGACCCTGACGATGCCTGCTGCTGTTGTAGATGTGGAGTCTGTGTCTCTCTCTCATCATTATCATCACGGTGGCTATGAGATGTTGACTCCCTCGCCTGGTATACAGGAGGTCTATGTGGAATCTGCGTGTCTCTCATCATCATCACGCTGGCTAGGAGATGTTGACTACCTCGCTTGGTCTACAGGAAGTCGTGGGTTCGATCCTGACCCTGACGACTCCTGCTGCTGCTGCTGTAGATGTGGAGTCTGCGTCTGTCTCTCATCATCTTTCACGGTGGCTAGGAGATGTTGACTACCTCGCCTGGTCTACAGGAGGTCTATGTGGAGTCTGTGTCTCTCTCATCATCATCATCACGGTGGCTAGATGTTGACTACCTCGCCCGGTACGCAGGAGGTGTTGGGTTCGATGCCGACCCCTGCTGCTGCATATTTGGAGTCTGCGTCTCTCTCTCTCTCTCACCGTCATCACCTAGTCTGAGATGTTGACTACCTCGCACAGTACGCAGGAGGTCGTGGGTTCGATCCCGATCCTGACGATGTCTGGGTGTATCTTTCAGGGGGTTAATAATGGCCGTGTCGGAGACACTGAGATCCTAGGTTCGAGCCCTGGGTCTGGGTGTCTCTCTCTGTCTCTCTCAGGGGGTTCACGATGGCCGTGTCGGAGACACTAAGATATTGGGTTCGAACCCTGGGTCTGGGTGTCTCACTCTCTCAGGGGGTTTACGATGGCCGTGTCGGAGACACTAAGATATTGGGTTCGAACCCTGGGTCTGGGTGTCTCTCTCAGGGGGTTCACGATGGCCATGTCAGAGACACTGAGAGTCTGGGGTCAAGCCCTGGGTCTGGGTGTCTCTCTCTCAGGGGGTTCACGATGGCCGTGTCAGAGACACTGAGAGTCTGGGTTCAAGCCCTGGGTCTGGGTGTCTCTCTCTCAGGGGGTTCACGATGGCCGTATCGGAGACACTGAGATCCTGGGTTCGAGCCCTGGGTCTGGGTGTCTCTCTCTCTCAGGGGGTTCACGATGGCCGTGTCAGAGACACTGAGGGTCTGGGTTCAAGCCCTGGGTCTGGGTGTCTCTCTCAGGGGGTTCACGATGGCCGTGTCAGAGACACTGAGAGTCTGGGTTCAAGCCCTGGGTCTGGGTGTCTCTCTCTCTCAGGGGGTTCACGATGGCCGTGTGGGAGCCGCCCTCACCTGTAGGGGTTGACAAGCTCCTCGGTGACATAGTTGAGAAAGTTCCAGCCCCCGTATGCAAATGAGCCCTGGAGGAAGGCCAAAGCGATGAGCCCCACGGTCGGCTCCTGCCAGGCCTGGAACGCATTCTGGGGCTCCAGCCAATAGGATTCACCTAAACACACAGCCAACAAGATTCACCTACACACAGCCAATCAGATTCAGCTCCACACACAGCCAATCGGATTCACCTAAACACACACAGCCAATAAGATTCACCTACATACAGCCAATAAGATTCATCTAAACACACAGCCAACAAGATTAACCTACACACAGCCAATCAGATTCACCTACACACACAGCCAATAAGATTCACCTACACACAGCCAATAAGTTTCACCTAAACACACAGCCAACAAGATTCACCTACACACAGCCAATCAGATTCAGCTACACACACAGCCAATCGTATTCGCCTACACACACACAGCCAATAAGATTCACCTACACACAGCCAATAAGATTCACCTACACACAGCCAATCAGATTCAGCTACACACAGCCAATCGTATTCACCTACACACACAGCCAATAAGATTCACCTACACACAGCCAATAAGATTCACCTACACACAGCCAATAAGATTCACCTACACACAGCCAATCAGATTCAGCTACACACAGCCAATCGTATTCACCTACACACACAGCCAATAAGATTCACTTACACACAGCCAATAAGATTCACCTAAACACACAGCCAACAAGATTCACCTACACACAGCCAATCAGATTCAGCTCCATACACAGCCAATCGTATTCACCTACACATACACAGCCAATAAGATTCATTTACACACAGCCAAATAAGATTCATCTATACACACAGCCAACCAGATTCACCTACACACAGCCAATCAGATTAAGATACACACACAGACAATCTGATTCACCTAAACACACACAGCCAATGAGATTCACCTACACACAGCTAATAAGATTCACCTATATACACAGCCAACAAGATTCACCTATACTCTTTGGTTCTATTGGGTAAAGTCACGTAGGTGAAAATAAAATAACAAAAAATCACGACGTTTCGGCCACAACACAAGCGGCCTTCATCAGGTGAAGGGACGAGACTGTCTGGAGGACAGCGCTTGTGTTGTGGCCGAAACGTCGTGATTTTTTGTTATTTTATTTTCACCTACGTGACTTTACCCAATAGAACCAAAGATTATGGATCCTAGCAGTCACGAAAGCTTTATATCTAGAAAAGATTCACCTACACACAGCCAATCAGATTCAGCTACACACACACAGCCAATAAGATTCACCTACACACAGCCAATAAGATTCACCTATACACACAGCCAACCAGATTCACCTATACACACAGCCAACCAGATTCACCTACACACAGCCAATCAGATTCAGCTACACACACAGCCAATCGGATTCACCTACACACCCAGCCAATAGGATTCAACGACACACAGCCAATAAGATTCACATATACACACAGCCAATGGGGTTCACCTCTACAAACACACACAGCCAATAGGCTTCAGATATATACACGCAGCCAATCAGATTCACCTACACACACATCCAGCCAATAGGATTCACCTACACACACACACGCAGCCAATAGGATTCACCTATACACAGACACACAGCCAATAGGATTCACCTACACACATAGCCAATAGGATTCACCTACACACACAGTCAATAGGATTCACCTACACACACCGAGCCAATAGAATTCACCTACACCACACAGCCAATAGGATTCACCTACACACACAGCCAATAGGATTCACCTACACACACCAAGCCAATCGGATTCACCCACACCACACAGCCAATAGGATTGACCTACACCACACAGCCAATAGGATTCACCTACACACAGCGCCAATAGTATTCACCTACACACACAGCGCCAATAGGATTCACCTACACGTGTAGGCGTGCGTGTGCGCTTGCTTGGGGCTCTTGCCCTTCCAGCCCACCGCAGGCTACCTGGGGAAGCTCTATATGTGGCCGTGTGTATTTATACTGTGTGTATTTGTACAGTGTGTGTGCGTATTAACCTGGTCAAGGCCTATGATGCCATGAACAGGCCAGGCCTCTGGACTGTTCGTGCTTTTGGAGTCCCTGACCCTCTGCTCACGATCATTAAGGACCTTCATGATGGTGAGCGGGCCAGGGTAAAACTACGTGGCTGGGAGTCGGAGCCATTCCCTGTTCACCTTGGGGTGCGACAGGGATGTCCTCTGGCTCCCACAATATTTAACATCTTTTTCGACCACGTAGTTCGTGAGGCCTTTGATGGCTGTACCAAAGGGATTTCCATATGGTACAGATACAATGGGGTGATGATCGATGCCCGGGTGCGGTTAAGGGATGGCTCCCTATTGCTCAACCACGTTATGTATGCCGATGATTTAGTAATAGCTGCTCATTCAGAGGAGGAGTTGGAGACGCTGCTGCTGAGACTGGAGCTTGCCACTAAGAGGTGGGGCCTTACCATCAGCCCCACCAAAACTAAGCACCTGCCTGGGTATTTTGTACCATCGGACACTCCACCCCCACAACTCCCAATCGGTGATGGGGCAGTTGTGGAGAGAGTGGAGAGTTTCCCATACCTGGGCAGTGTGCTTATGACCGGCTCCAGTTTAACAGCAGAGGTCTCACTCCGAATCAGTCGAGCGGCAATATCTTTCCATCGGTTGCGTAACGCTGTGTGGAAGCTACCGGGTCTGTCGCTCCGCACTAAGCTTCAGGTCTTCTCGGTCACGGTCATTCCCTCCCTTCTCTACGCTTGCGAAACGTGGACCCCCCTAATGGAACATCTTCGCCGGTTAGAAACATTTAGGCTGGCCTGCCTACGATCCATCCTGGGTTTAACCAGACTGGATTGTGTGAGGAGCTCACAAATCCTTGAAAGATCTGGACAAAGTCCAATCGGTGAGCTCCTCCGGCAGGCAAGGCTGCGTTGGCTGGGCCATGTAGCCCGCATGCCCAGCCACCGCATGCCGAAACAGCTTTTGTTCGGCCGGATCGAGGGGGCTAAGCGGGCGCGGCACGGGCTAGAGAAGAGATGGAGTGATGTGGTACAGGAGGACGTGGAGCTGAGTGGACTTGCCGATGACCGGTACCAGCGGTGTCAAGATCGGCCTCTGTGGAGCAGGCTCGTGAAGGATGCTACTGGGCAGTTGGAGGCAGTCGCCCTCCAACAACAACAACGGAAGGCGGAGGAGCGACGCTCAAAACAACGAGCGGAGCGCCGGGCGGCTAAAGCACAGCAGGTTGGCACTGTAGGGGGGGCACAGGTGGTGCATCAGCCAGTCATCTCAGTCATCTGTCAGTCAGTCGACCCGTGGCACCCGCTGGGTCTGCCCCCGTGACCTGCCGGCGGGCGTGCACCTAGCCTGGCACGGGCGCCACTGCGTGTCCCCACCTCTGCAGATCTGCACAAATCCCACGACGATGATGAGGCCGAGGGCGAGCAGCTTCCCCGCCGTGAAGAGGTCCTGAACCCTGGTGGCCCAGCGCACGCTGGAGCAGTTCACCCACGTGAGAAGCACTGGGACACAGAGACACGTGGGGACACGTGGGGACACGTGGGGACACGTGGGGACACGTGGAGACACGTGAGGACACGTGTGGACACAGAGACACGTGGGGACACGTGGGGACACGTGGGGGCACAGACACGTGGGGACACGTGGGGACACGTGGGGGCACAGAGACACGTGGGGACACGTGGGGACACGTGGAGGCACAGACACGTGGGGACACGTGCGGACACAGAGACACGTGGGGACACGTGGGGACACGTGGGGGCAGAGAGACACGTGGGGACACGTGGGGACACGTGGGGGCACAGAGACACGTGGGGACACGTGGGGACACGTGGAGACACGTGAGGACACGTGTGGACACAGAGACACGTGGGGACACGTGGGGACACGTGGGGACACGTGGGGACACGTGGGGAGAGAGACACGTGGGGACAGAGAGACACGTGGAGACACGTGAGAAGCACTGGGACACAGAGACACGTGGAGACACGTGGGGACACGTGGGGACAGAGAGACACGTGGGGACAAAGAGACACGTGGGGACACGTGGGGACACGTGGGGACACAGAGACACGTGGAGACGCGTGAGGACACGTGTCGACACAGAGACACGTGGGGACACGTGGGGACACATGGGGACACAGAGGCACGTGGGGACACGTGGGGACACGTGGGGGCACAGAGACACGTGGGGACACGTGGGGACACGTGGGGACACAGAGACACGTGGGGACACGTGGGGACACGTGGGGGCACAGAGACACGTGGGGACACGTGGGGACACGTGGAGACACGTGAGGACACGTGTGGACACAGAGACACGTGGGGACACGTGGGGAGAGAGACACGTGGGGACAGAGAGACACGTGGAGACACGTGAGAAGCACTGGGACACAGAGACACGTGGAGACACGTGGGGACACGTGGGGACAGAGAGACACGTGGAGACGCGTGAGGACACGTGTCGACACAGAGACACGTGGGGACACGTGGGGACACGTGGGGACACAGAGACACGTGGGGACACGTGAGGACACGTGGGGACACGTGGGGACACAGAGACACCTGGGGACACGTGGGGACACAGAGACACGTGGAGACAGAGACACGTGGAGAAACGTGGGGACACGTGGGGACACAGAGAAACGTGGGGACACGTGGGGACACGTGAGGACACGTGGGGACACAGAGACACGTGGGGACAGAGACACGTGGAGACACGTGAGGACACGTGGGGACACAGACACGTGTGGACACAGAGACACGTGGGGACACGTGGGGACACAGAGACACGTGGGGACACGTGTGGACACAGATACACGTGGAGACACGTGAGGACACGTGGGGACACGTGGGGACACGTGGGGACACAGAGACACGTGGGGACACAGAGACACGTGAGGACACGTGTGGACACGTGGGGACACAGAGACACGTGGGGACACGTGGGGACACAGAGACACGTGGGGACACGTGGGGACAGAGAGACACGTGGGGACACGTGGGGACACAGAGACACGTGGGGATAGAGACACGTGGAGACACGTGGGGACAGAGACACGTGGGGACACAGAGACACATGGGGACACAGAGACACGTGGAGACACGTGAGGACACGTGTGGACACGTGGGGACACAGAGACACGTGGGGACACGTGGGGACACGTGGGGACACAGAGACACGTGGGGACACGTGGGGACAGAGAGACACGTGGGGATAGAAACACGTGGAGACACGTGGGGACAGAGACACGTGGGGACACAGAGACACGTGGGGACAGAGACACGTGGAGACGCGTGAGGACACGCGGGGACACAGAGACACGTGGGGACACGTGGAGACAGAGACACAGAGACACATGGAGACGCGTGAGGACACGGGGGACACAGAGACACGTGCGGACAGAGACACAGAGACAGGTGGGGACAGAGACACAGAGACACGTGGGGACAGAGACACAGAGACACGTGGAGACTGAGAGACACGTGGAGACACAGAGAGGCACGTGAAGACAGAGAGAGACACGTGGTCTGCTGGCTGGTTGATCTGTCTGGCCTGGCTGGGCTGGCTGGCCTGGCTGGCCTGGTTGATCTGGCTATAGCCTGGCTGGCCTGGCTATAGCCTGGCTGGCCTGGCTATGGACTGGCTGGCCTGGCTATGGACTGGCTGGCCTGGCTATGGACTGGCTGGCCTGGCTATGGACTGGCTGGCCTGGCTATGGACTGGCTGGCCTGGCTATGGACTGGCTGGCCTGGCTATGGACTGGCTGGCCTGGCTATGGACTGGCTGGCCTGGCTATGGACTGGCTGGCCCGGCTATGGACTGGCTGGCCTGGCTATGGACTGGCTGGCCTGGCTATGGACTGGCTGGCCTGGCTATGGACTGGCTGGCCTGGCTATGGACTGGCTGGCCTGGCTATGGACTGGCTGGCCTGGCTATGGACTGGCTGGCCTGGCTATGGACTGGCTGGCCTGGCTATGGACTGGCTAGCCTGGCTATGGACTGGCTGGCCTGGCTATGGACTGGCTGGCCCGGCTATGGACTGGCTGGCCCGGCTATGGACTGGCTGGCCCGGCTATGGACTGGCTGGCCCGGCTATGGACTGGCTGGCCTGGCTATGGACTGGCTGGCCTGGCTATGGACTGGCTGGCCTGGCTATGGACTGGCCGGCCTGGCTATGGACTGGCCGGCCTGGCTATGGACTGGCTGGCCTGGCTATGGACTGGCTGGCCTGGCTATGGACTGGCTGGCCTGGCTATGGACTGGCTGGCCTGGCTGGTCCGGCCAGCTGGTTGGTCTGGTTGACCTGGCTGGCCTGGCTGATCTGTCTGGGCTGGGCCTGGGCCTGAGCCTGCCACCAAAATAATTGTTCCCACAGGCCTGAGACCGGGAACGCCGGCCTCAACCGGGTTGCCACGGACCCGGCGTCCCGTCGGCGAGACTCACGGAGGCAGAGGGCGGCGAGGAGGCTGAGGCCCACGTCCGGGCCGGGGCACGAGGGGAAGAGAGGCTGCAGGACGTAGTTGGCGAACGTGAGGGCTATCACCGCCTGGTTGGTGGGGTAGATCACGAGCAGCGCGATCCACAAGCGCAGGAAGCTGCACGCGCGCACGTGAACACACACACACGCACGTGAACAACAACAACAACCGTGACGTCACCACGGCGCCTGTGCCAGGCCGGGTGCACGTTGAAGGCCACGCGAAGAGTCGGAACGCCCGCCGGCAGGAGGTCACGGTTGGCAGACCCAGCGGGTGCCACGGGTCGACCGACTGAGATGACTGAGATGAGTGGCCGATGCACCACCACCTGTGCCCCCTACTGTGCCAACCCGCTGTGCTTTAGCCACCCGGCGCTCCGCTCGTTGTTGTGAGCGTCGCTCCTCCGCCCTCCGTTGTTGTTGGAGGGCGACTGCCTCCAACTGCCCAGTAGCGTCCTTCACGAGCCTCCTCCACAGAGGCCGATCTTGACACCGCTGGTACCGGTCATCGGCAAGTCCACTCAGCTCCACGTCCTCCTGTACCACATCACTCCATCTCTTCTCTAGCCCGTGCCACGCCTGTTTAGCCCCCTCAATCCAGCCAAGCAAAAGCTGTTTCGGCATGCGGTGGCTGGGCATGCGGGCTACATGACCCAGCCAACGCAGGCTTGCCTGCCGGAGGAGCTCACCGATGGGATTTTGCCCAGATCTTTCAAGGATTTGTGAGCTCCTCACACAATCCAGCCTGCAGGTTAATCCCAGGATGGATCGTAGGCAGGCCAGCCTGAATGTTTATAAACGGCGAAGATGTTCCATTAAGGAGGGTCCACGTTTTGCAAGCGTAGAGAAGGGAGGACATGACGACAGTGGCCGAGAAGACCTGAAGCCCCATGTGACACGTCAGACCAGGGAGTTTCTACACGGCGTTACGCAGCCGATGAAAAGATATTGCCGCTCGACTGATTCTCAGTGAGTCCTCTGCTGTCAAACCGGAGCCGGTCATGAGCACAATGCCCAGGTATGGGAAACTCTCCACTCTCACCACAACTGCCCCATCACCGATTGGGAGTCGTGGGGGTGGAGTGTCCGATGGCACAAAATACCCGGGCAGGTGCTTAGTTTTGGTGGGTGCCGATGGTAAGGCCCCACCTCTTAGTGGCAAGCTCCAGGTTCAGCAGCAGCGCCTCCAACTCCTCCTCCCGAGTGAGCGGCAATCGCCGGATCACCGGCGTGCATAAGACGGTCGACCAAGAAGGAGTCATCCCTCGGCCGCGCCCCGGGGCATCGATCAGTTGTATCCGTACCAGGTGGAAATATCCTCCAATACAGCCACAGGAAAGCTTTCCGTACTCCGTGGACAAAGACGACGTTTAAACAATGTGTGGGAGCCAGAGGTCCATCGCTGTCACACGAAACCCACCCAGCGAGGCCCCCAAAGATGTCCTTGACGTAGCTGTAGTCGCCGCCGGATTTGGGGATGGTGACCCCCAACTCGGCGTAGCAGAGGGCGCCGATGGCGGTGATGACTCCGGTGATGATCCACACCAGGAGGGCAACGCCCACAGAGCCGGCGTTCTCCATCACGCCCTTGGGGGAAACGAAGATCCCCGAGCCGATGATGTTCCCTGCAGTGCCACGCACGGGGGGGGGGCGATGTTAGTGGGCAGTGGTAGTGTACAATGTAGTGTACAATGTTAGTGTACAATGTTAGTGTACAATGTTAGTGTACAATGTTAGTGTACAATGTAGTGTACAATGTAGTTAACAATGTTAGTGGGCAGTGGTAGTGTACAATGTAGTGTACAATGTAGTGTACAATGTAGTGTACAATGTTAGTGTACAATGTTAGTGTACAATGTAGTGTACAATGTAGTGTACAATGTAGTTAACAATGTTAGTGGGCAGTGGTAGTGTACAATGTAGTGTACAATGTAGTGTATAATGTAGTATACAATGTAGTGTACAATGTAGTAAACAATGTTAGTGTACAATGTTAGTGGGCAGTGGTAGTGTACAATGTAGTGAACAATGTAGTGTACAATGTTAATGGTCAGTGGTAGTGTACAATGTAGTGTACAATGTAGTGTACAATGTAGTAAACAATGTTGGTGGGCAGTGGTAGTGTACAATGTAGTGTACAATGTAGTGTACAATGTAGTATACAATGTAGTGTACAATGTTAGTGGGCAGTGGTAGTGTACAATGTAGTGTGCAATGTAGTATACAATGTAGTGTACAATGTAGTGTACAATGTAGTGTACAATGTTAGTGGACAGTGGTTGTATACAATGTAGTGTACAATGTAGTGTACAATGTAGTATACAATGTAGTGTACAATGTTAGTGGGCAGTGGTAGTGTACAATGTAGTGTGCAATGTAGTATACAATGTAGTGTACAATGTAGTGTACAATGTTAGTGGACAGTGGTAGTATACAATGTAGTGTACAATGTAGTGTACAATGTTAGTGGGCAGTGGTAGTGTACAATGTAGTGTACAATGTTAGTGGGCAGTGGTAGTATACAATGTAGTGTACAATGTAGTGTACAATGTTAGTGGGCAGTGGTAGTATACAATGTAGTGTACATTGTAGTATACAATGTAGTGTACAATGTTAGTGGACAGTGGTAGTATACAATGTAGTGTACAATGTAGTGTACAATGTAGTGAACAATGTAGTGTACAATGTTAGTGGGCAGTGGTAGTATACAATGTAGTGTACAATGTAGTGTACAATGTAGTGTACAATGTAGTATACAATGTAGTGTACAATGTTAGTGGGCAGTGGTAGTATACAATGTAGTGTACAATGTAGTATACAATGTAGTGTACAATGTAGTGTACAATGTTAGTGGGCAGTGGTAGTATACAATGTAGCGTACAATGTAGTATACAATGTAGTGTACAATGTAGTGTACAATGTAGTATACAATGTAGTGTACAATTTAGTATACAATGTAGTGTAGAATGTAGTATACAATGTAGTGTACAATGTGTAGAATGCAGTATACAATGTAGTGTACAATGTAGTATGCAATGTAGTGTACAATGTAGTGTACAATGTAGTGTACAATATAGTATACAATGTAGTGTACAATGTAGTATACAATGTAGTGTACAATGTTAGTGGGCAGTGGTAGTGTACAATGTAGTGTACAATGTTAGTGGGCAGTGGTAGTATACAATGTAGTGTACAATGTAGTGTACAATGTTAGTGGGCAGTGGTAGTATACAATGTAGTGTACAATGTAGTGTACAATGTAGTGTACAATGTAGTATACAATGTAGTGTACAATGTAGTATACAATGTAGTGTACAATGTTAGTGGGCAGTGGTAGTGTACAATGTAGTGTACAATGTGGTGTACAATGTTAGTGGGCAATGGTAGTGTACAATGTAGTGTATAATGTAGTATACAATGTAGTGTACAATGTAGTGTACAATATAGTGTACAATGTAGTGTACAATGTAGTGTACAATATAGTGTACAATGTAGTGTACAATATAGTGTACAATGTAGTGTACAATGTTAGTGGGTAATGGTAGTGTACAATGTAGTGTACAATGTAGTGTACAATGTTAGTGGGTAATGGTAGTATACAATGTAGTGTACAATGTAGTGTACAGTGTAGTATACAATGTAGTATACAATGTAGTGTACAATGTAGTGTACAATGTAGTATACAATGTAGTGTACAATGTTAGTGGGCAGTGGTAGTATACAATGTAGTGTACAATGTGGTATACAATGTAGTATACAATGTAGTGTACAATGTAGTGTACAATGTAGTATACAATGTAGTGTACAATGTTAGTGGGCAGTGGTAGTGTACAATGTAGTGTACAATGTAATAAACAATGTAGTGTACAATGTAGTAAACAATGTAGTATATACTGTTAGTGGGTAATGGTAGTGTACAATGTAATATACAATGTAGTGCACAATGTAGTGTACAATGTAATAAACAATGTAGTATACAATGTAGTATACAATGTAGTGTACAATGTAGTAAACAATGTTAGTGGGCAGTGGTAGTATACAATGTAGTAAAACAATGTTAGTGGGTATTGGTAGTATACAATGTAGTGTACAATGTAGTGTACAATGTAATAAACAATGTAGTATACAATGTGGTATACAATGTAGTGTACAATGTAGTAAACAATGTTAGCGGGCAGTGGTAGTATACAATGTAGTAAACAATGTTAGTGGGCTGTGGAAGTGTACAATGTAGTAAAACAATGTTAGTGGGTATTGTTAGTATACAATGTAGTATATAATGTTCGTGGGCAATGGTTGTGTAGTGAGTCCAACTGAGTCGCAGATGTTTCTCTTTAGAGGCATCACATTTATTGTAACATCAACACGTTAACACAAAAGGGTAACAGCCCCTTCACCGGATACAGCTTAGGGTGGTGACCACCCAGCTAAACTCCACTATACGGAGGAGTTATCGCTACGAAGGGTCAGACCCTCGCTCGGGTCCCTGACCACGTGCTGATGCCTCGTCGGACGTGGAGCTTCCAGCTTGTAGGACATGGAGCTTACAGCTTGTAGCACGTGGAGCTTACAGCTTGTAGGACGTGGAGCTTACAGCTTGTAGCACGTGGAGCTTCCAGCTTGTAGGACGTGGAGCTTACAGCTTGTAGGACGTGGAGCTTACAGCTCGTAGGACGTGGAGCTTCCAGCTTGTAGGACATGGAGCTTACAGCTTGTAGGACAAGGAGCTTACAGCTTGTAGCACGTGGAGCTTACAGCTTGTAGGACGTGGAGCTTACAGCTTGTAGCACGTGGAGCTTCCAGCTTGTAGGACGTGGAGCTTCCAGCTTGTAGGACGTGGAGCTTACAGCTTGTAGGACGTAGAGCTTACAGCTTGTAGGATGTGGAGCGACGTGGAGCTTACAGCTTGTAGACGTGGAGCTTACAGCTTGTAGGACGTGGAGCTTCCAGCTTGTAGAACGTGGATCTTCCAGCTTGTAGAACGTGGAGCGACGTGGAGCTTACAGCTTGTGGGACGTGGAGCTTCCAGCTTGTAGGACGTGGAGCGACGTGGAGCTTACAGCTTGTAGACGTGGAGCTTCCAGCTGTCGAAGAACCCCGGTCCCTCTCGGGGACCCACCTGATATCCTCCCGGGTCAGGGCTGCTCCGCCCTCGGCCCCGCCCGCCTTCTGGAGCGTTCCAGCTCCCTCTCGATCCCTCTCGAGAGCTCTCCCCGGACACGTGACCGCCGAACCCCCGGCGCTCGACAGGCCCCGCTTGGGCCGGCACGGCGGTGCCTCGCACGCCGTGCTGCGCCGGAGCCGGCCTCGCACGGCAACCAAACCCGGTGCCGGCCCGCGACGCACCAACATCGCCCGCCATGGCCCTCCGCTGTGAACCCGGCGGGACACGTGACCGGGTCAAAGTGGGGGGCCCGGGGAGGGCCCCCGGGGGGACCTTGGGGGCCGCGTGGCCAGGGGGCTGAGCCTTCTCGAGGATTCGAGGTGGTGGGCGTGGCCTGGGCGTGGTCTGGCCACGCCCACCTTCTCGAGGATTCGAGAAGGTGGGCGTGGCATGGGCGTGGTCTGGCCACACCCACCTTCTCGAGGATTCGAGGTGGTGGGTGTGGACAGACCACGCCCATGCCACGCCCACCACCTTCTCGAATCCTCGAGAAGGAGGTGGGCGTGGCCAGACCACGCCCAGGCACACCTCCCTGCTTGGCCCCGCCGGTTGTTACCCGAGTGTCGAGTGTCAGCGAGGATAGGTCGGAGTTCATCACCCGATGTGCAACACCATTACAAGTCGTGTTAGTAAATAGTGTTGCCTTCCCTATAGCAGTGTGTGCGTGCCTCTATCGAACCGTCACGGTTGCATACAATGTGGTATACGGTGCAGTATGCAGTGTGGTATATGTGACACCTCTTACCACGCCATCTCTCTTCTCCCACTTCAGCAGGAAAAAAAAAGAGTCTTGCTGTGGTTCTCCACCTGACGATGATCGCTCGCGTTGCGATCGGAACGCCGTGACTTATTTTATTTTCTGCCCACGTGATGACTTTTACCGAAAGAACCAAAGATTGTAGTGTACAATGTAGTGTACAATGTAGTGTACAATGTAGTGTAGAATGTAGTGTACAATGTAGTGTAGAATGTAGTATACAATGTAGAATATCGTATGCAACGTAGTGTACAATGTAATGTACAATGTAGTGTACAATGTAGTATACAATGTTAGTGTACAATGTCGTGTACAGTGTAGTATTCAATGTAGTGTATAATGTAGTATACAATGTAGTGTACAATGTAGTATACAATGTTAGTGTAAAATGTAGTATACAATGTAGTGTACAATGTAGTATGCAATGTAGTGTAGAATATAGTATACAATGTAGTGTACAATGTAGTATGCAATGTAGTGTTGAATGTAGTATACAATGTAGAATATCGTATGCAATGTAGTGTACAATGTAATGTACAATGTAGTGTAGAATGTAGTATACAATGTTAGTGTACAATGTCGTGTACAGTGTGGTATGCAATGTAATGTACAATGTAGTATACAATGTAGTGTACAATGTAGTATACAATGTTAGTGTAAAATGTAGTATACAATGTAGTGTACAATGTAGTATGCAATGTAGTGTAGAATATAGTATACAATGTAGTGTACAATGTAGTATGTAATGTAGTGTAGAATGTAGTATACAATGTAGTATACAATGTAGTAACAATATAGTATACAATGTTAGTATACATTATAGTAAAAATGTAGTATACAATGTAGTATGCAATGTAGTATACAATGTAGTACCAATATAGTATACAATGTTAGTATACAATAGAGTAAAAATGTAGTATACAATGTTACTATGCAATGTAGTAAAAATGTAGTATACAATGTTAGTGTACACCACCCACCCTCACCACCCACACTCACCACCCACACTCAGCACCCACATTCAGCACCCACCCTCACCACCCACCCTCACCACCCACACTCACCACCCACCCTCACCACCCACCCTCACCACCCACACTCACCACCCATCCTCACCACCCACACTCACCAATGATTATCCCACATGCACTGAGGAGTCCAATTTCTTTCTTGAGACCAACTCCACCTCCATCACTACCTCCATCACTACCTCCCATGCTGGTGGTGATGGTGGTAGTCTCTGTGTGTGTCTGGGTGCTGGTGGTGGTAGTCTGTGTGTGTGTCTGGGTGCTGGTGGTGGTAGTCTCTGTGTGTGTCTGGGTGCTGGTGGTGGTAGTCTCTGTGTGTGTGTCTGGGTGCTGGTGGTGGTAGTCTCTGTGTGTGTCTGGGTGCTGGTGGTGGTAGTCTCTGTGTGTGTGTCTGGGTGCTGGTGGTGGTAGTCTCTGTGTGTGTCTGGGTGCTGGTGGTGGTAGTCTCTGTGTGTGTGTCTGGGTGCTGGTAGTCTGTGTGTGTGTCTGGGTGCTGGTGGTGGTGATAGTCTCTGTGTGTGTGTCTGGGTGCTGGTGGTGGTAGTCTCTGTGTGTCTGTGTGCTGGTGGTGGTAGTCTCTGTGTGTGTCTGGGTGCTGGTGGTGGTAGTCTCTGTGTGTGTGTCTGGGTGCTGGTGGTGGTGGTAGTCTCTGTGTGTGTCTGGGTGCTGGTGGTGGTAGTCTCTGTGTGTGTGTCTGGGTGCTGGTGGTGGTAGTCTCTGTGTGTGTCTGGGTGCTGGTGGTGGTAGTCTCTGTGTGTGTGTCTCGGTGCTGGTGGTGGTAGTCTCTCTGTGTGTGTGTGTCTGGGTGTTGTTGCTAGTCTCTGTGTGTCTGTGTGCTGCTGGTGGCAGTCTCTGTGTGGGTGCTGCTTAGACAATGCAGCGACCGAGGTGGGAGAAGGAGGCTGAGGAGGAGGAGGAGGAGGCGTCAACCCGGAGTTTGTCACCGCGAGACATTCGGGTGCAAAGTCCCGGTGCAGGAGTGCTGACTCGAGACCCTGACACTGCCACTGTGAACTGCCCTAGTTAGAGACACCCAGGATCTCAATGTCCCTGGCACGGCCACTGTGAACCCCGCGAGACAGAGACACCGAGGATCTCAGTGTCTCTGACATGGCCACTGTGAACTGCCCTAGTTAGAGACACCCAGGATCTCAATGTCTCTGACACGGCCACTGTGAACCCCGCTAGACAGAGAGACACCCAGGATCTCAATGTCTCTGACACGGCCACTGTGAACCCTGCGAGACAGAGACACACAGGATCTCAGTGTCTCTGACACGGCCACTGTGAACCCCCTGAGAGAGACACCTAGAATCTCAGTGTCTCTGACACGGCCACTGTGAACCCCGCTAGACAGAGACACCCAGGATCTCAATGTCTCTGACACGGCCACTGTGAACCCCCTGAGAGAGACACTCAGGATCTCAATGTCCCTGGCACGGCCACTGTGAACCCCGCTAGACAGAGACACCCAGGATCTCAATGTCCCTGACACGGCCACTGTGAACCCCCTGAGAGAGACACCCAGAATCTCAATGTCTCTGACACGGACATCGTGAACCCCCTGAGAGAGAGAGAGAGACACCCAGACCCAGGGCTTGAACCCAGGCTCTCAGTGTCTCTGACACGACCATCGTGAACCCCCTGAGAGGGAGAGAGACACCCAGACCCAGGGCTTGAACCCAGACTCTCAGTGTCTCTGACACGGCCATCGTGAACCCCACTGAGAGAGAGACACCCAGACCCAGGGCTTGCACCCAGACTCTCAGTGTCTCTGACACGGCCATCGTGAACCCCCTGAGAGAGAGACACCCAGACCCAGGGCCTGAACCCAGACTCTCAGTGTCTCTGACACGGCCATCGTGAACCCCCTGAGAGAGAGAGAGAGACACCCAGACCCAGAGCTTGAACCCAGACTCTCAGTGTCTCTGACACGGCCATCGTGAACCCCCTGAGAGAGAGACACCCAGACCCAGGGCTTGAACCCAGACTCTCAGTGTCTCTGACACGGCCATCGTGAACCCCCTGAGAGAGAGACACCCAGACCCAGGGCTGTTGCCTCTGCGTGTAGCCCAGGGGAGCGGTGGCGCTGCGGTTAGCAAATGGGTGTAAACCTGTCCTGGGCCTCCCCTAGGTCAGCTCAGCCTTTATTTTGTTATATATAACAAAATTAATTTGTGTTCAGTAGCAGTGGCTGTGGTGACATCACCCCCACCCCCTCGTGTGCCACGTGGATGGTAGCCTTCATAGGTGCTGCTACCCGCTAACAGCACTTGCCCTAACAGTCTGTTACAGGCTACACAGGGGAGCTCTATCTCTTGTGTTTGTGTGTCTGTGTGTGTATGTATGTGTGTGTCTGTGAGTGTCTGTGTGTCTGTGTATGTATGTGAGTGTGTGTGTATGTGTCTGTGTGTGTATGTATGTCAGTGTGTGTCTGTGAGTGTCTGTGTGTCTGTATGTGAGTGTGTATGTGAGTGTGTGTGTCTGTGTCTGTGTGTATGTATGTCAGTGTGTGTCTGTGAGTGTCTGTGTGTCTGTGTATGTATGTGAGTGTGTGTCTGTGAGTGGCTGTGTGTCTGTGTATGTGAGTGTGTATGTGAGTGTGTGTCTGTATGTATGTCAGTGTGTGTCTGTGTATGTATTTGAGTGTGTGTCTGTGAGTGGCTGTGTGTCTGTGTGTATGTGAGTGTCTGTGTGTGTGTATGTATGTCAGTGTGTGTCTGTGAGTGTCTGTGTATGTGAGTGTGTTTGTATGTGAGTGTGTGTGTCTGTGAGTGTGTATGTGAGTGTCTGTATGTGTGTATGTCAGTGTGTGTCTGTGAGTGTCTGTGTATGTATGTGTGTATGTGAGTGTGTGTGTCTGTGTATGAATGTGAGTTTGTGTGTGTCTGTGTATGTCTGTGTATGTATGTGAGTGTGTCTGTGTGTGTCTGTATGTTTGTGTCTGTGCGTCTGTGTGCCTACGGACACTTGCCCGACAGCCTGCTGGAGGCTACACCTGTAGGAATCTTTACCTTTTGAGTGACCCTGAGAATAATCGCAGCCCGCCTTCTAGGGCAGAGGACTGCGCTTATAGAACAGTTATCTGTGACATGCCACGGTGTTCAATTGTTATGTAATTTCAATTTATATATATATTTTTTATTTCGTCTTCAAATTTATAACAGGGTATAAGGGGCTTCTCCTCCGCTTACTGATCTGTTGTGTAGCAGCTCGTTGTCAGAAGCTATCCTGGCCAAAGCAAATTAAAGCAGCTCAGATAGATATACAGAGACCCACAGAGATACACAGAGACCCACAGAGATACAGAGAGACCCATAAAGATACACAGAGACCCACAGAGATACAGAGAGACCCATAAAGATACACAGAGACCCATAGAGACACACAGAGACCCACAGAGATACACAGAGACCCATAGAGATACAGAGAGACCCACAGAGATACAGAGAGACCCATAGAGATACACAGAGACCCATAGAGATATACAGATACCCATAGAGATACAGAGAGACCCATAGAGATACACAGAGACCCACAGAGACCCACAGAGATACACAGAGACCCATAGAGATACACAGAGACCCACAGAGATACACAGAGACCCATAGAGATACACAGAGACCCACAGAGATACACAGATACCCACAGAGATATACAGATACCCATAGAGATACCCAGAGACCCACAGAGATACACAGATACCCACAGAGATATACAGAGACCCATAGAGATACACAGAGACCCACAGAGATACAGAGACACACAGAGATACACAGAGATACACAGAGACCCATAGAGATACACAGAGACCCGTAGAGATACACAGAGACCCATAGAGATACACAGAGACCCATAGAGATACACAGAGACTCATAGAGACACACAGAGACCCATACAGATACACAGAGACCCATAGAGATACACAGAGACCCATAGAGATACACAGAGAGCCATAGAGATAAACAGAGACCCACAGAGATATACAGAGACCCATAGAGATACACAGAGACCCGTAGAGATACACAGAGATACATAGACACCCACAAGAGACCCACAGAGATAAATAGACACCCACAGAGACCCATAGAGATGCACAGAGACCCACAGAGACCCACAGAGATAAATAGACACCCACAGAGACCCATAGAGATACACAGAGACCCACAGAGACACAGATAAATAGAGACCCACAGAGATACACAGACACCCACAGAGACCCACAGACACCCACAGAGACCCATAGAGTTAAATAGACACCCACAGAGATACATAGACACCCACAGAGACCCATAGAGATAAATAGACACCCACAGAGACCCACAGAGATACATAGACACCCACAGAGACCCATAGAGATACACAGAGACCCATAGAGATACACAGAGACCCATAGAGATGCACAGAGACCCATAGAGATACACAAAGACCCATAGAGATACACAGAGACCCATAGAGATACACAGAGACCCATAGAGATACACAGAGACCCACAGAGATACATAGACACCCACAGAGACCCACAGAGATACATCGACACCCACAGAGACCCATAGAGATACACAGAGACCCACAGAGATACATCGACACCCACAGAGACCCACAGAGATAAATCGACACCCACTGAGACCCACAGAGACGCACAGAGATACATAGACACCCACAGAGACCCACAGAGATACATAGACACCCACTGAGACCCACAGAGACGCAAAGAGATACATCGACACACACAGAGACCCACAGAGATACATAGAGATACATAGACACCCACAGAGATACATAGAGATACATAGACACCCACAGAGACCCACAGAGATACATAGACACCCACAGAGACCCTGCCGCTAAAGGGTTAAGAACTGCGCGCTGCTCCGGATCTATCCAGCAGTATCCCCCGTGCATCGTGCGATGCATCGGGAACCAAATTGGTGGCAAGGCTGCGCTTGAAGGTTTAAAGAATCTCTGCTAGCTCCGGATGACAAACGTATTGCTTTAGCTGCTGCTGCTGCTGCTGAAGCGGTGGTCGTGGTGGTGGTGGTGGTGGCGGTGGAGATGGTGATGGAGGTAATGGAGGTGGTGGCGTGGTGATGGTGGTAGTGGTGGTTGCATGGCGGTGGTGGTGGTAGTGGCGGTGGAGGAAGTGGTGGTGGCAGTGGTGGCGGTGGTGGCGGTGGTGGTAGCGATGGTGGCGGCGGCAGTGGTGGTAGTGGTGGTGGTGGCGTTGATGGTGGTGGTGGCGTTGATGGTGG